TGAAAATGTTAACACGTTTTAATTTTTCAAACTTTTTGTTGTGATTATTTGTAATTTCTAATTTAAAAACATTTTTTGTCTTTTAAAGTCTCCAAATTTTTGTTTTCTATCAGCCACGTGTTTACATATACTGTATGTTACAGAGGATCTGGGCAGGTCAAATTGTGGGAGTCTGTGAAAACCAGAAAAAACAGAACATATATATGTGATGTTGTTTATAACCGCGATTCATCATTTAAGGGCTGTATAGAAGTTAACTTTGTTATGTAAATTACAGCCTGAGCTGCCAAACAACCTCCACTTCCATCTGGACTGATTCCGCTCAATCGCTCATGCTAAAGTAAATGTTATCCTGTCTGACCTCATGTAGAAATCCAGGCATGTCCAGCTTTGTTGGTTTAGGCCGCTGACACGCAAAGTCCGCACCATTTATCAAGATTCATGGAGCGGAGGAAGTTTCCATGACTGGCTAAATGACGTAGCTATAAAATATAACATGTGCAGTTAAGATGAGTCACAGATAAGAAAAACAGACTCATCTCTAATCCAAGAAAGATTATATTAAAGCTACTGCCGTTTATCGCACGGGAACAATACACCTGAGAGTCTAACAACTTAAAGTTGGTGTAAAATGAAGGTAGTTCAGAGTTTTCTTCTTTTGGAGCATGGTTTATGTTTTTGTAGTGACCAACTGTTCCCGCTCGAAAACTGTGGAGTACCAGCACACTTCCATGTGGGTCACCCTAGTGACTATTGTACAGCTTATGTATTCCATCTCTCCCTGTTCTCTGCATCTTCTACTCTGACTCCAACTATCTGCATGTCCTCCCTCACTGCATCCATATATCTCCTCTTTGTCTCCTAACTCATCTCTAACCTTCTGCTACCAATGTAAGAGCTAACAAAATACGATCACACAAAAGCTGAGTTTCACAAGGATTGTCTTTAATTATCAAAAGTGAATATAAAGCTTACAAAAGCCTGTTGAACAGCCACTACTGTAATCATACATGAATGAGTCGGAGTTGGAGTGCTAATAAAGGAGCAGAGTACTGTAGTATGGACACTGTAGTGTGTGTTCGCCACATTACAGCTCTGGCACGGTGGCTACAAGGCAACGGTTATTAAACGTACACTTCATAATTTCGACTGTGCCACTAACAGAAACTCATGCATACAGTAAAACAAATCATAAGTCTGATGTCATGGTCAGGAGATCAACTGCTGATCTGTTGAGGTCTTTAGAATTAAAAGTTCAGATTAATTATCACCACTGACTTTAGCTCAATCATTAAGTGGATATGGCTGCTGTTTATAGCTGTGCTCTTCAGTAAACCAAGGGCCTGGGTGACAGACTTAATGCATGTTGTCAAAGTGGCTGATACCAGGCCACACAGAAGGCTAATATACAACCACTTTGTTACAAAAAAAAAAAAATCTTCCCTTGGTTGGATCCCAGGAATCTTTAGATATTATATATTTAGATAAAAATCCATTTTGGGCCCTGACACTCAGATTGCAAAAAGGCTTTTTGCAGTACGTCCCGTGGTTTAGAGTGGTCAACAATACTGTAAAACACTAGACCAATATTGTACAGTTACTTAGACTTTATGGGCTGATAGTGCTGAATGGTGCTGCAGTGTCAGCCCTATCATCGCAGATTACTGGCCTCAACAGTGTGGGGCTAATGTTGTCTCCACCAACAGCATGGACCTCCTGTGTTTGCACTGGATCCTGAGGGTCATTTCTTCTAATGACACTTTGACGTCCTGCAGTGTTTGACCTCCCAGTGAAGAAACAGGAAAACATGGCTGCTAACTGCAGCCGCACCTCCCTTTGCCAGAAGGCGTACACCAGTGGGTTGATAAGGGAGTTGGAGAGTCCCAATAACCAGAGATGGTTCTCCAACACATGAGTAAGTTCACAGCTCTTGCACAGAACGTGCACGAGGCAGACCACAAAGAAGGGGCACCAAAGGACTAGGAAACAGCCAATGAGCACTGCCACCATCCTCAGAGCCTTTATATGAGTCCAGTAACTACACCGCAGCGGCGGCTGCTGATGCTGTTGATGATGCTGTTGATGATGCTGTTGCTGATGCTGGTGCTGACGGTAAGGTTCATGACCCTGACCACGTTCAGCTGACCTGGAGCCTGCCTGCTGACCCTGGCAGATTTGCTTTAGGTGACTTTGTGCAATCTTCAAGATGTCAAGGTAGATGTAAACAAACATCAGGAGCACTGGAAAGAAGCAAATGCTAAATAGGATGATGATACCTTTTCCATGGATGACAGAGAAGAAGGCACAAAACCCCTCGTAGTCTTTCGTCTGCAGCTGTGGAACCACCACTACACAGGAGAACATGCACTGACGTTAGTGACAAAGTACTACTACAATAGACCACTAAATACAACGTGAAGAGGCCATAAATATCCAACCAGTACATCAGTATTCAACAGGTGAATGACTTATATTCTTACTTGGCAGAAATCCCACAGTGAAGGCACTGATCCACAGAGTCAGCAAGAACCCAAATGCTGTTCCCTTCCCAGACAGCAGCGAGTACCGCAGTGGCATTTTGATGGCTGCGTAACGGTCCAGTGAGATCAGAAACATAGACATGATGGATGCCGTGCAAGGTGACATCACAAACGCCATCCGCATCAAACAGCGGGCCTTCCCCGGAGGAGAGACCATGGTGGTTGTGTTTGCAGAGGCATCTCCAGATGATGAGACACGGTATTGCTGCTGGTCCTGAGAGCCACCAACTTTGTCGCTGTTGAAATCTTCTGTGGCAAGCCCTGTGATGGCCACGCCCACCAGAGCGTCTGCCAAGGCCAAGTTAAGGACGAAACACCAGCTCTGGGTCCTCTTCCTAAGGAGCAGCTTTAACAAAGCCATGGCCACCAGGAGGTTGGCGGAGACGATAAGGCAAGCGGCGACACTCAGGATCATGCCCATCACCCTGGGCTTCATCTGGGCTGGTGACTCTTTGGCGTCCACACAGATGGTGGTCATCAATGTCCAGGGTTCGGTGGTGGCTTGTGTGGTCAAATACAATATCATGTCTCCAAGGAGAGATTCTAGAGCCTTCGAAAAAAATATGCTGTTTTATCTACTGCTGATATAGCAGAAAAATTGAGCTCTTGCAGCAGTTAAAAGTATTTTAACTTGTTGTGCCGAAGCACAACTGCCTCATAGCTGACCTGACTGACTGATGTCACAGTTTAACAACTGAACTTTGTCTCTAACTGTCTGTAGGTCCCAGTCCCGTCTTCAACGTCCCTTAAGCTCCATAATGAACAAATGCAGAGAAACAGAAGGATAGGAGATTATCAACAGGTCTCTCTCCCTCTCTCTCACTCTCTCTATCTCTCTCTGCCCCCTCTCCCTCTCTCTGTTTCTTTCCCACTTACACTTTGTTGTTTTTCCATCACTAGAACTGACCTTTGCACCAGCGTCCAGTCTTCAGACACAGACTATTTTATTTTTCTCTGCATCATTTGATACACTGTTTCATACTAACTACCACTATATACAGTAATACAATGATGAAAAATCAAGAAAAATATGCAAAAGTATCATTTTTAGATTTTTTTTATATATATATATACATTTTTGGTGGATTTTATTCCTTACTGTTCGTCCTGACGGTGCCTGTCATTCCTGTCAAGATCTCAGCAGACACACCTGGCAGGACAGAACCTTATTCTAGCCGGGATTCACACACATCTGGTCAGTTTCATATGTTTGTATTCCATATCTTTGTTATAAATGATCAGTAAGTACATTTTTGTCATGCATGTATCCATTGAGGTGTGAGTCTGTGAGTCTATCACAATGCAATTATTGATTCTTTTTTGGTCCATTTTACTGCAGTGATATTTGAAAAAAACAACTTAACATAGCCACACACACACACACACACACACACACACAATAGGGGAATGCCATTCACCCCTGCTAGACCATTCCAGACCTTTCAAAACAAAGTGACTGTCAGCAGTACTTGTACAGAGCACCATGCAGGATGCTGTGATATTGGTCACCACGCTGCCAACACCGTGGCCCACCATCACCAACACCAACTGATGTGACAGAGACTAGGGCTGTAACTCAGTTCAGGTCAGTATTTTCTTAGATTGGATTTCTGTTCTCAATGGAGACAAGAACCTCTTTACTGTAATCACTCGTTTCTTTTTGACATATGTTTACGTCAGACTGAAGATGTCTCTGAAGAGACGGCTGCTGTCCATGTTGTTGTGCTGTGTTTACTGTGTGGCTTCACTCTTCTGCCTCCACCCGAATCGCAACAACGGTGTCACTGTGAAAGCACGGTGAGTCCCGGTTTCCTTTAACGACATAGGACAACAACAAAAAACATTGTTATGAAGCATCAAGTTTGATGTCATCCTATGAAGATGGTGGTTTGCAGACCTTGCTAAGTGTCAAAGCCAGAATTTTAATATATATGTGCCATGCTTTACCATCTGTTTTCCTCTAAATGGCACCATATTTTACAAGACTGACATGGAATAATTGGCTTGTCAATTACATATATTTATAGTAAATACAAATCTGTAGCTCTCTTGGTTATTTAAATGAAGCCCAGTAAAAAAGAATATTATTTTAAATAAAAAATATGATTTTTTTTAAGGACTGAAAGGCTCTAACATTTGCTTTTTTTTTCTTTCTGCAGAAGTTTGCCATCAGTCATCCATCAGGTTTACCAACAAATCACTCAACTCTTCCGCACCGTTCTGTAAACTACAGCAATTTCAGTGAACCTTTTGTGACCAAGCAGAGATGTAAAGAGTTGTAAAACATGGTTTCCTGTAGTGTAACAGCTTTAAGGATACTAATGGCATCCCTACATTAACGATGTCTGCTGCCCTGATTGGTGCACTACTTTACATGAAAATTCATAGAATTGATTATATAATTTTAATCTAAAAATGTGTACTTGATTTTGATTGGTGAAGGTAACATATGATACGACCGAGTTAAGGAAAAGGCAAATACTAATGGCAAAATGATCCTAGAAAATTTGAAATTGTTCCAACAAATCTCAAGACAGAGGCTGCTGCTGCCACAGTAAAATAAATACTTCAATATTTAAAATGTGTTTGTCCATTGCATTTCAGACAATCAAATGTGTAGTAAAATTACAATTAGATAAGAGGGATCTGAGAGCTACACAAACGGTAAGTTTGATAGTTACTTGCTTGAATAAGCTAAGAATAAAATATGCATAAATATTAATTACAAAAAAATGACAAATAGGGCTCAGATCTAGTTCCTACTGATTGCGACTTTCCTTTAAAACATTTTTTTAATAATCCCTACACATTTTTCAGTTCTAGATAGAGATTTCTACCACGTTATTCTCCCACCTCTCTGTGAGCTTCATTCCTGTGAGTATAATTTCCTTTAGTTCATGGCTGCAAGAGATCTAGTTTGTTTAATCTGTCAAAACCTGGAAATAAATGTGAACATTGATGATTTAAAAACACAATTTGAAGAGTGGAATATTGTTCCTTGGATAGTCTGTTTGCAGTTTATGCTATGCAAATAGTGTTATCCTCTATATCATATATTTCTGTAAGTATTCCTTTTATCGTCCTGTTTTTCTGTATGGGGAGAATTTATCTAAAGCTGTACTTCTCTGGTCACCATATGCAAGACATGTTAAATGGACGTTGATTTTATTTTGAAGGGCTGAGAAGGAGCCTTGTTTCTGACCTTCGCGGCGCACTTCACTGTGTTATGGGAAGCTTAGAGCGAGCGTTAGGTTTTGTTCTTCCCTCTTTCTTCTCAAAGTCATGCTGCAAACACTGACTTTGTCATGGAGATTAAAGTGAAGTAACTGACCGGGAACCAAACCCCTGACACCTGTCAGAACACGACTGACGGTAAAGGTAACTTCTGCTTGTCAACAAACGCTAACAGACTGTAGTTTTCAATGTGGAGCGTTAGCTGCGGTTAGCAGTTAGCCTAGCCTCATTTTATGTGTAATTTCTCTCACAAATTATTTTTAATTGCAGTTTATTTTGTTTGTTAACTATACATGACAAAATATAGATTGGTTTAACAATGTTAAATCTGTTGTAGCGTTTTGTTTTTATTCGTGTAAAATGTTGCAAACAGTAAATTATTTTCATGCTCGTGACACTGTTGCTGTTACTGTCACTCAAAGATCCAGGCTCTGCTCCCTTTCAGCCAATCAACATCTTTTAAATAGTATGAATGACATGACCCGCAGCCAATAACAATCTATCAGCAGGTTTCTGGCTCCCTCTCTGTGTCTGTCTACGTCCCTCTATCTTTCTCTCTCTCTCTCTCCCTAACACAGCGGGCGTCTGTTTCCGGCGCAGAGAGCTGGGGATGCCGCTGTTGCTGAGGGAACGTCACAGCTCAGCTCCTTTCTCTAGCATCATCTTCACCTTCATCCTCTTCACCTCTTTCTCCTTCTTCTTCCTCCTCCTCATCACTCGATGTCGATGACGATGTTGTGTTGTGTGCCCTTGCAACGCTGTATTGTTGACGTTTGTGTGGGCGCGCTGCTCTTGTTTCTAGCGGGGCTGCAGCAGGTGGAAGCAGCAGCAGCCGCCGCGGACACCATGGCCAGCCTGAACTGGAAGCCCTTCATCTACGGAGGCATGGCCTCCATCGTCGCAGAATTCGGTACGTTCGTACACCACGGACACCGGTATCTCCGTCAACATTTCAATTGTACAGATCCTATTCTATGCGCAGTATTCTTATAATGCTTTACACGGTTGGTGCATAGACCCGGTAAACATCCAGAAATTACATGCAGGGCAAAATGGTGCAGCAGAGAGATGCTAACAGAACTGATACAGGGCTTCAAAACAGGATCAAATTAATCTAACTGAATAAATAATGTTTCTCGGAAGACTCATGGTGGTTCACAACACTGGTTTACCTAGTTATAAATCATTTCTTTCTCTCAAGTTAAAATAGGGCTGTAGTGATCAATAGACAAAAAAACAGGCTTTGTCATTTTTAGTAGTTTCTGTGTTACTTTAATAAAAAAAGATCATTTTTGCTTACTCCCTGTGTGTAAGTATGTTATGCGTAGACTGGACTTTGTTCAGCATAGTCTTGTTCTGCGCACGTGATTCGAATTCACAAGTTCAGCAACATCTCCTGCAACCAGGCTTTTATTAAATGTCTTGCTTTGTGACTCACTTGTTCTGAATAAATTCATAACTTACCAACTGACTGGATTCTTACACATCATGACATGGCATTTTTGCAGAAGTTCAAATTGTTATTTAACAATTTTGCACTTAGTCGTTGTCTTTGAGCTACCGGTATTTATTTTATTTTTTTTTGTTTCTTGGCTGCATTTTAATATTGTTTAGCAACATCTATTTCTTATTGTTTTTATTTTCTCTGTTCTAAGTCAAATGAGTCAGAAATTGCATAATACAAAATAACTAACAACTATAAAATTTAGGTAAAGATAGCTCTTAGTCCATAAACTAATTAATATTCAATTAAGTCCAACTGAGATGGCATTAAGTTGTTGTGTACGAGGGAGGTTTGCTGGCAATTTTGCTTCTGAATTGTTAAGGTATATGGCAGTTGCTGTTAAGTTTAATTATTTTTATCATAATTTTTTTTATACCTCAGGGACATTTCCTATAGACTTGACCAAGACACGCCTTCAGGTACAGGGTCAGTCCCAGTACACAGAGGTGCGCTACAAAGGCATGTTCCATGCACTTTACAGGATCGGCAGAGAGGAGGGGGTACGAGCGCTCTACTCTGGGTAAGACATAAACTGGGCAGCAACAACAAACTCTGCTTTGTTTATATATAAACGTCACACCTCAGCCATAATGTATAATTCCTTTTTAAGTTTATACAAAGGTTAGAGCTTAGTAAGCATGAGTTTTATCTCCCACCAGGATTTCTCCTGCTCTGCTGAGGCAAGCTTCCTATGGGACGATCAAGATTGGAACCTACAACACCTTGAAAAGGCTGTTTGTCAGTCATCCTGAAGGTGGGAGCTTCTGTTGATTTCTTTGTCTTCTCCAGTCGTTCCTCCTGCTTGTCTAATAAATTCGGTCATCTAAATTTAGCATCCTGCAGGAAACCGTTCCTCCTGCTTGTCTAATAAATTCATCTAAATTTAGCATCCTGCAGGAAAGACAACTCTGGGTTTTTTTAAAACCACTGGCTTCAGTTACGCGCAGTCATTAGAGTCAAGTGAAACCTCGATGACGAGACATTAGGCTGGAAAAAACATTAACAAACCATCAGTTGACTTTGGCAGCTGGCCTAACAACCACTGTGACAGGAAGTCACTGTTAATTATTCGGGTAGATATACATTTCCAACACTTTACCTACTTTAGCTGATTTAACACTGATGCAACAGTCTGTGAAGTCAGTTAAAATGATACAACACAAAAAGGGACTGTTCCCTCTATTTATTTGGCATTGGCAGAAGTGATTGGGTTTTTTTCCAGGAAATAAATGTGAATAAAATCATCAGTTACTTAAAACAGAGTCGCTCCACATTGGTGAGAATATTTCATCTATTCATATGAATGAACTATTTTGTGCCAATACCTTGTCACCAAATTAAACCCAATGCAGAATCGTATTGGATTTATTCTCTCCTGTGTGGATTCACAGTGGTTGACAAATAATGTGTCCACTATGAGTCTGGTTGTATGTGAGGCTGGTAAATACATCAAGGGACAAGACATTTTAAATGTACAAAAACGAATTTAATCCATATTGTTTAGTTGCAGTGTTGATCAACAAGAAGTCTTTGACAGCATGAATTGGGAATCCAAAGTGTTTTTTTTTTGTGGCTGTTTTTACTGTGTGTTTTCTTTTGTTTTTGGACAGCAGTGCTGTTCACCGCTCTTATTCTGGCCACTGGGTTTTTAAAGTTAAATGGTGATGATTTCCTTGGGTTTATAAGAGAAATTTGTGAATAATCTTATTGCAATTAAAGTGTGTTTCAGCTGTGAGCAATGTTAAATCCATGTTGATTCATGTGATGTTGGTGTGCTGCAAAGGCAATGCTGTAGTTGCCTGTAAATGCATTTCTCAGAGGTAGACAGGTGAGAACAAAGGTTGTCCAAATTTGTTTGACGACCAATGATATGTGGTGAAGCAGAGCTACCGTGTCAGCCTGCTGCATTTACAAGCATTTACATGCTGCATTTACAAGCAAAATATAAGGCAAAGAGCTTACAAGAAAATGGAAAATTGAAAATTAATGGAAAATAGAAAGTGAGATTTACAGGGAACAGATTCATTTTACATTGACATGTTCTTGTTTGCCTCATACTCTTGTATGTAACATAATTATAACATTAATTATATACATGGGCAATTATGATAGAAAGGGCTAGCTGCTTTTTTTCTCAGTAAATGATTGACAATTATTTCAGTCTATAAAATAAATACTATGGGTTAGGGTCCCCGGACTTTATTTTCTTTAACCATTATGTCGAAGTAAACATGTACTACTCTAATATAAAGCTAAGTATTTAAATAACTTCGTCTAAATATTAAGTGTTTTTTATCACCTTTCCACTCTGCATGCTTTGTGCCTTTTTGTTTTTTAAATGCTTGTTTTGATCCAGGCTTGGGTTTGTCCGGTGGTTGTGGTGGGATCGATCGCCCCGTTCTCCTGCCCAAAAAGTGAGCGGGGTGAGGATGGCCATGCTGACTGTGGGTCAAAATAATCTAAGATTATTGTAACTTGTTCTCAACAAATGTCTTTATTGTTTTCTATGACCTTCTCCATAATCCTTACTGACTTTAATGTTAAAATCCCTGGGTTACTACTAACCAGCGCCACCACTCTTGCTGTACTGCTACTAAAGCTCATCGCTTATAATGGTTACAGAAAGTGTAGTTTTTTCTAATATTGTTTTTAAAATAGTTATCAGTTCGTTAGGATCGCCGTGGAGAAACTTCTCTAACAGGATAACGTTAACATCACCAGTGTGAAGCTCCTGGTGGAATAAAGCAAATGTTATTAGAACATGTTTTTGTGTTAACAAAAGTTAACAGATTACAAAGTGTATTTTTCTTTTTCAATTTTACTGTAGTCAAAGTGTATTTTTCTTTTTCAATTTTAAAACATTTGTCTTTTTGTCTTATTTTAATAGAGTCATTACAGTGTGTGTGTGTGCTTAATAATTCAGCCGTTCTTGTCTTCTTTCCCACAGATGAGACCATGGTAATCAATGTGTTCTGTGGTGTCGTGTCTGGAGTCCTGTCATCCTCTCTGGCCAACCCCACTGATGTTCTCAAGGTAACTCTTTCCTGTTAAAGCATGCCGTGATATTGAAGCAGCTCTTTACTGCACCAAAATTTCAAGTGATGGTCTTCGTTTGCAGAAGCAGCTGAGCACAGTTTCTGCAGAATTCTAAAACCTTAAAATAAATTACCTTTCAAGCACTTTGGTATCATATTTTCCTGCCATAGAAGAGTGTTGGATTGCCAACGGCAAATATATCATCCAAGCACCTGGTTTGCACTGGGAGAGTAACAAAGTGTGTCATCAGCATACAGTATTTGTTTCTCACAGACACAGATGCTGGGACACTGTATAATGAGTTCTCTGTAACTTGTGAAACCAAAATATGCTGCCCTGTATTTGTTCGTGTAAGATGATGTACGTCTCCAATTATTTTTCTATGCAGTGCCTTCTATCTGTCATCTGAGGTTTTGTTTGTTTGTGTTTATTTCAGATCAGAATGCAGGCACAGGGCAGTCTTTTTGTTTGTTTGTGTTTATTTTAGATCAGAATGCAGGCACAGGGCAGTCTGCTCCAAGGAAGCATGATGTCCAACTTCATCAACATCTACCAGACCGAGGGCACCAGAGGGCTGTGGAGAGTGAGTGCAGTGATACTCTGTTGCAGTGGCATGTAGCATGTGGTATGGAAACACATCGTGTCTGACTGTAGAATCACACTCTTGGCTCCACCTGCCTTTCCTCAGGGGGTCATTCCCACTGCACAGAGAGCTGCCATTGTTGTCGGGGTGGAACTTCCTGTCTATGACATCACCAAAAAGCACCTGCTTCGCTCAGGCGTCATGGGCGATACCATTCTGACTCATTTCATGTGAGTATATCAAGGATGACTGGAAAAGGAACCCGTGTTGACTCCAGTGAATCCGTTAAACCTGTTTATAAAACGTTACATATGGCTGTATAGTTCCAGTTTTACATGTGGCCTGGCGGGGGCACTGGCCTCCAATCCTGTGGACGTAGTTCGGACTCGTATGATGAACCAGCGGGTTACATCTGGAAGCCCCATGTACAAAGGAACGCTTGACGGAGTCATGCAGACGTGGAAGAACGAGGGGTTCTTTGCCCTTTATAAGGGTTTTTGGCCAAACTGGCTGCGACTGGGGCCTTGGAACATCATTGTATCCTTTCAGCTCTGTTCTCACTGCATCAAAGTTCAGGTTTTTATTTCTGGGTGGTTAACATTTTCAAATGTAAAATTTAATTTTTATTTTTTATATTGTAGAGTGATTATATCTTATAGTATATTAGAATTAACAAGTAATGATAAAATTATATTTATAAAATAAATTACAATTGGCCAGCCGACCAGAGTTTGACATTGGACACCACCTAGTGTCCACTGCTCTCAGCTGCTACTAGCTCATGAGATTTAAAAATGACAATCATATACTATACTAAACTGTTATAAAATAATAACAATTTTTCCTCAACACTCCTCTTCATCAGTTCTTCATTACCTTCGAGCAGCTGAAGAAACTCCCATTCTAGATGGGAACAGGAAGTTGGACTGCACTGTGTGACTGAATTAGGATGAATGAGAGTGAGTGTGAGCATGGCATAGCTGGAGTCCAAACACCAGTGTTTTTCACACTCCTTAAAGAACCCAGTATCAGTCACCAGCCCCTACACTGAGTTTTGCTTTTTGTAATTTATTATTTTGCCATTGTTTTTTAAATTGTCATTGTAAAGACTGTTGCTTTGACATGAACTGTCCTTGGCAGCTGAATGTCTGATTCAAGCTGAGATGCTTGAAAACCTCAGAAGAAGTTTATCCTCTTAACTGTAGGAAGAAGGATTGTGTCAGTGGAGCCTTGGTTAGAAACATTAAGGGACAAATGTCTGATGGTTTTTAGATATTTAGGTTACTGTCAAAATCACTGGATCTGATAGGAAGCTAAGGAAAACTATCAACTGTGATGCACTTCAGAAGAAAAATCCAATGTTACTGTCTTGTACAAAGACGTTATGTTGTGAACCCAGACTGAGAGAAAGGCCTTCTGCGCCTCTGCCATGATCACGGGACCATCATTGATCTGAGTTGTACGTTGGGCCCTGTTGTAGGTTAGAAACTGGAATATGTAGGGGTTTACAAAGGCTTCATGCAAATAATAAGACCCTAAACTGAGCAAATCAGCTTTAGCAAATATCATTAGCTCTTAAATTAATTCAAAAACTCTTTGAAATTATATAACACCCCAAAAGCAAGAGAACAAGCCCATCCAGGCTAATATAACCTGACCTGAATATAAAAATGTTATCTAATTGAAGCATACAAGTCCCAACACAAATATGTACGAGACCATAAAAAACTGCAAAAATGTGGAAATTATGTTAAGTAAGAATTCCTTGTCAAATGTGCACAACTACCGTATTTGTTGTGCCTGTGAAACAATGTGAAATCTCTGATCCACTGTAGGTCCACGAACCCTCTCTTTATAGGCAGATGCACAGTCGTTTCCCCTGTAAAAGGTGAAAAATGTGGGTGCAAACAGTTGTAGAAGAGACAGAAGTGACTGTTACACTTGTTATTTCAAACACATAGAGCTGCAGTGTCAGTAAGGTTTCAAACATGTCTGTGATGTTCAAGTCTTATATTTATTGCAGTTTTTTGTTTTTCTTGTGAAACAAAGGAGCAGTCAATCTGAAGGCTAACACTTTCCTTTCCTGTTCAGTAACAACCAAACAGCCTCATTCAAGTTTGAATTATATTGGTGGTGTTTTTCCCTCAGTTTTCTTGAGTATACCCACACTTAACTATACATGTTGTTTTTTTTTGTTAAATGAAGTTAGTGCAGATCACTGCAGTCCAGCGATCTGAATCACTCCATTTCAATGTTCTCATTACTTTACTTTAGTGCTTTGCATTTCTCCACGTCTATCATTTCTCATGCGCGCTGCTTCTAAGTAACGATCGTTGTAACGTGGATCAAGTATAGTCGCGATGACTGCAGAAGGATCTGAAGAGAGCTTAAAGCAATTCAACAAATCTGAAGAATTGGAAAAACGTATTCTTATAATTGGATTTGACTCCATAGGATGTCACTAGCTCAAAAGTAAAATCTTCTGTGGTGCTGAATGTGTTTCTGACTTGTTTCTTATTTGTCAGGAAGATGTGTATAAAACATCTTGCCAGTGTATAAAAATTATGCACTGGTGTGCTTGAAAAAATGGCAAATTTATCTTCAATGAGGTTTTATTTATATATAATACAATATTACCAGGCCTAATGCTTTCATCAGTACGACTGAAAAGCTTTAAAATGTGTCTTGTTTTAAAATAACCTTGCTTGTTTTTAATTCACTTCTTTATATTTGGTTTTACTGTTATTGTTTAACTATGAAGTTCTTAAATGATGGAAATTGCGAGAGTCTAAATGTTGCAATTGCACATTCATTTTTATGGTACAGAAAACATTTGAACCATTTTTACCTGTGTTTTTTTATGTCCCTTTCCCTTTTTAGAGTGTGAGTTTAGTGAGTACACACTTAATGTACCTAACGCTGCTTCATTCCTNNNNTTCCTGCTTTAATTCCTTAAAAATGCTTTGTAATGCTTATATTGAAATTATTACAAAATTATTGCAAATAGTTATGTTTATTAGTATTATTTAATATAATAGTATTATTATTATTATTTTAGCTTTATTCACAGTGAACAAAGAGAGCTTCCTGAGTTTGAGCTAAGGCCATCGCTTTTTCCAAAAGATCATGTTTTTTCAAATTTTAATCTGATGGCCAGATACTGGCAAGTCAAGTCAATCTCCAGAATCAAATAACTCTTAATCTTTTAGTGGCTTTTGGGTTGTATGTTTTCACCCAAGTGGACTGCTTAGCTTTCACGCTAACAGCTAAAAATCAAACACTCTAAAATGGAATTGTTCTTTTGACTTTTCAAAGTTGACAACTTTAAAAGAGTAAACTATATACATGCACTTTGTGCAGTGATTTATTTAAATGAGACTGAGTAATTGATAGGTAAAGGTTTTTGTGGATTTATTCAATCTCGTATATATACATACATATATATATATATATTATTTGGTGATTTTCTACACTCTATATTTGTGAATGTCACAGCCTAAACACTCCTTCCTTTTGGTCATCCCGATTGGCCTCAGTGAAAATATGGCAGCCAATGACTGGTCAAGGAAATTTTAATTTAACACTGGTATACTGCTGCCTTCCACAGCTCCGTACTGCCAAATGTTGGGACATTTGGATTTTTAAAAATTGTATTTTTTAAGTGTGGATTTATTTTGTTTCCGCTTTCCTGATTTAGTATTTCCTGTTTTTATTTTCTGTGACAGAACTGGTACATATTAACCTGCTGTCCTCTTAAATAAACATCTAATTATGCTGTGTTTGTTTCTGATGGTGTGATGTTATTTAGGCGTGTACTGCCAAGCAAGGTCAAATATTGTTTAAAGTTGAAATGCAGATGTAAACACTTTGTACCTGGAATGTCTCATTCTTAGAGGTGAGATTTTTGCCCCGTGTTGCTTATGTAATGAAGTTAAACAAAAATAATATAGTGTACTTAAAAAAATATTGCATATTTATTTTTGAAATATTGTCATTTATGTACATTTATGACAAAATAAAGGTACTATCTATAGCAAAAAAGAACATAAGAAGAGACTAGATAAATAATATTAAAATACTAAATATAAAAAACTAGATTGCCTCAAGTGTCTTGAGAAACGTCTGTTCTGCTTTTCATACTTGCTTTTTCTCTGTGGCTGCTCACACCTCCATCGACCAACCTAGATCTGTAGATGCGTTTAGCATAACACAGAAGTTACTGAAGGAAATATTTTGATGGTTTGTCCAGTTGTGTTTGTACCAGGAAGACTTGCTCTTTGATACTGTATGTGCGTGACAGGAAACGGATCAAAACAATTTGGTGGTCAATATCTCTTATCTAAGCAGGCTTGGAATGGCTTCAGGAAAGCTCTGCACACTGCTGAGAAGAACCTGGTGGCTACATTCCTTTTGATCTGTGCACTTAGGTGCCTTTTCAAAGCCTTGATAAAAGCATCGTCATCCTGCTGTAGTTTTTTCAGTATCGCTTTAGGAGAGTCCATTGTCTGCGAGAGTTCGCTGAACAGAGATTTGTAAATCTTTTTACCTTCCTTTTCTCTCCCAGCAAGGTCTCCTAGCTTAACCCGTTTAAGTGCTTTGTCAGACAGGGTGTGGACAATCCTGTTGAAGTCTACTTGGCACATTGACGTCCTGGCCTTTTTCAAGGTGTGCATTACAAGACCTGTTACCAACAAGACAATTAATGTGTACTTTTGAACTTGGTTGTCTGACATAATTACTGACTCGGAGCTACTTGAGTCAGAAGTATGAGATGCAATATTAGCAACATCACAGATCTGACTATGTTCATCAGGATCCTCTTGCTGAACATGTAGCAGACGGCGCAACTTAGCTTCAAGGCTTAGCTGCCCCTCAGTAGAAGTAGAAGGAAGAGATAGTAAGTGCTGCTGCAAAACTGCTTGGGGGCGAGGCTGACGCTGAACATGCAGCGGGAGCAACTGCTGCTGCAACGCGGCTTGAAGGTGTAGCTGGCCCTGTGCAGAATGAGGTAGCAGGCGGTACTGCAAATCTGCATCTGGGTTCAGAAGACCTTCAGCAAGAGGAGGTTGCAATCTTTGCTGCAAATCAACAGGAGGATGTAGTTGACGATCAGCAAGAGACAGAGGTAGCAGACGGTGCAGAAAATCTACTTGAGGACGAAGTTGACGTTCTGCACGGGGAGGAGGTAAAAGAATGTGCTGCAAATCTAAGCGAGGGTTAAGATTTACCTGAGCAGGAGGAAGTAGCAGATGTTGCTGCAAATTGGCTTCAAGGTGTGGCTGATCAGCTGGATGTTGTGGGGGTTGATCTAAGTTTTCTTCAGGTTGTGGCACTGGGTCCTCAATGTCTTCAATGTCATCCTCTTCAAAATCCTCAATAAACATAATAATGATAACATTGTCATCCTCCCCAGTGTCTTCATTATTACCCTCTCCAAATTCTCCAATATCATTACCAATCTCCTCAAATTCTCCATTGTTGCTGGCATCCTCCAAATTAATGTCATCAACACCATCATCTGAATCCTCAATGTCTTCCACATCTTCCTCAAAACCTTCATCGTCACCCACACCATCCTCAAAATCCTCAATGTCCTCACCATCTACCTCGAAACCTTCAAATTCATCGACAGCATCCTCAAAATCATCAAAGTTATTACCATCTCCAAAATCTTGAACATCATCAGAGCCTAGTTCAAAATCCTCAATGACATTGTCATTATCTTGGAAACCATTCATGTCATGTGCAGCATCCACAAAATCTTCATAGTCCTCACCTTCCTCTTCGAGGCTTTCAGGATCATCTCCCTCTTCAAAAATGTCATCCTCACCTTCCTCTTCGAAGTCTTCAATGTCATCGCTCTCATCTTCTAAAACTACAATGCCATCATTGTAATTCCCCTCCAGTGGTGCAACACCTGGTCTGTACCTTGTAGTTGTATAGAAGCCATCGAAACTGTTCCGGTCATGAATGCGCTCAGACATTACTGCCATCAGCCCTGCCTCTGAAGTGGTGTAAATAATCTGATTGTGATTTTTCCAAATGACTCGATAAAGGTCTTTTCTGTGTCGTTGGTCCTGTAGAGGAGCGGTGCTGCTCTCCTCCCTGAGTTGCGGTGCGCAATGGCAGAAGGTACGTATGCAGTCTATTGTTGCACCAGCAAGATCAAGCAGCGCAGCCAGTGTTTCATAACTAATGCATTCACATTCAACGGATCTGCCCAACAAATGCCTTGTGTTTGATTTCATTTTTTTGGCCAATGTGGCGTTTACTCTTGTAGTTACTTCCTTAGCAATCAATCGATTGAATTGCTTGAAGCTGTCGCATTTAAATGATCCAGTATTTAAGAGCTGACAGAAACACCATACAAGAACCCGCTTTATGTTCATCGTCACATAGCCTTCGTCTATACCAAAGAAACATTTCTCACTTTCTACAAGCAAGTATATACGTGGCAGTTTTTTGACCCACTCTGTGACCACAGGGTTTAGGCATTGAAAGATGTATCTTGTGATGTACCGTATAATGGTTGTGCACAGAACCATTAGCGTGGCTGTGTCAGGCACCTCTGTGCTGGAGTGGTTTTGAATTAGTCTGCAAACAGACGGTGGAAACATTACTTGGGGAAATGTTATTGGGAACTTTACATGGGCAATTAGTTTGAGTTCTGATGGTTCCATCAGATCTGGGTGGGTTTTTTATCAAGAAAACTCTTGGTTGTGTTTGTCCTCGAAAGGTTTTGGACATGGTTGTTTGACTTGGTGTCTGTTTTGGCACCCTTAATGTTGCATTACTGCCTTTCTCTTTTTTTCTCATTTCTTTAGCTCTACGTCGTGCTTCCAAACTATGTGATTCTAGATGTCGAGGTTGTATTCGTAATGTTGCATTACTGTTACCTTGCGCTGGTAATTCATTCTTCAGTCCACGCTCCTTTGCACAGTGGTTTGTCAAGAAATGGTATAATACAGAAGACAAAAACAGATACCCATTATCAGAGCTGGAATTCCTTTTCCTCATTTAGCATGTTCTTCTGGAATGAATGTGTCAAATAGATCAAAGCACAAATGGCTTTTGTGTTGATGTGACATCATCTGAGTTATTGCTTGTTCCTGCTGCTGTCTGGTTCAGTAAATAAAACTAAATCTAGAATTGTCCGTCTGTGCATTACATCAATATATTCTTTCTGAAACCAAGGTTTGAACTAAAGAAAGACTATTGCCAAGTCTGAAACCAACACCATAAAACCAAGATTTGAACTAAAGAAAGACTATTGCCAAGAAATGAACTTGGCAATACAGATGCAAAACATCCAACCTATTTTAAAATGTAAAAATTAATTAATTTAAAAAAAGAAATTGCATTTGAAAAAGCAGTTTTAACAGGGTTCATCTGTAATCTAGACCCTTAATGGATGCTCTCTGTGCTTTATCATTTCTTTTTTCTCTAAATTGAATCACAACTTTTTGGACTTCATGCGTTGCCCAGTTTTAATAAGCTAGAATGAGAATAACAGTGTTAAAATTGGAATACACTTTTTGTACAGCTATTTCCTAAAGTTCCATTTGAAGTATTATTTTTCTTTCTAGCATAAGAACAAAAAAAATCAACCTAATAAAACAAAACCAATTTATTGATATAAATTACTTAAAAACTTCACAGCACTGAAGTTATAGAAACATACTACAAAATCCATGCATACAGAGAACAATTCATGTGGGATGCACCCGTCGAGAGTAGCGTCCAAGGCCAAAGCAGGCCTGGAATGGCTTTGTAAAGGATCTGCTAACTCCTAACAACCTGGTGATGGCGTACTTCTTTTTAATCTGAGCAGTCAGGTGCTTCCTTAAGGCTTCTATGAAAACATTGTCATGTTGCTGGAGTTCTTCGAGGAGCACTGTTGCTGAGTCAAATGTGTGCAACAGCTCACTGAGCAAAGCCTTATGAACCCATTTGCCTTCTTTCATGCTCACTGTTATGTCCCTGAGCTTGATCTGTTGCAGGGCTTCGCCTGACACATTGTGGACAATCCTGTTAAAGTCTACCTGGCACATTGATGCCTCTGCTTTCTTTATGGCATACATTAGAACACCTGCGACCACTAGGATGACCAGCGTGTACTTTCTAATTTGGTCCTCTGATATTGTTGATAAATCAGAGCTATTTGTGTCAGAAGAAGGAGATGAGATATTTCCTGCGTGTGTGACCGGCTGCCAGCTTTGATTCCCTGGTACAACATCCATTGCTTCATCACATAAATGACTACATTCTCGTTCATCAACAGTTTCCTTGAGAGGATGCAGCAGAAAGTGATGAAATTCTGCATCTGGGTATCGCTGATCTTGACTGTGACCTGGTAGCAGCGGTAGTTCCATGTTAGTGTTATGCTGTGGCTGGTTCTCTTGGTGACAATTGGGAAGAAACAAAAGTTCCTCATTCTCCTGTTCCCAAATGTCCTCCCAAAATGGCAACATCCCATCAATGTGTACCTCGTCATCTTCATCTTCATCTTCATCATACACTGTTTCAACCATGTCACCCACGCTTTCCACCGAATGAAAGTCCATCTCTTCCCAGTCTTCAACATCACTGTCATATTCTACCAGTTGAAGGTCTTCATTGTCATGCTGGTCAATGTCTACAAAATCTTCACTGTCACCATTTTCATTTTCTTCAAAATCACTGTCATCGTCCAGACTCTGATTCTCACTGAAGTGTAAAAATCCTTCAGGGTATCTGAAGTCAATATTATAGAAGGAACCCTCACACCATTTGCCAGTATCCGCACTGCTAACATGCTCTGACATGATTGCCATCAATGTTGCCTCCGACGTTGTATAAATCACCTCACTGTGGTCGCTCTTTATTACACGATAGAGGTTTTTCCTCCCTCTGTAGTCCTGTAGGGGTGCTGTGCTGCTCTCTTCCTCTTGATGCGGTGTGCATCGACATTTATCAAGGTGCATGCAGTTTATGGTTTTACTGGCCAGAGCAATCAGTGCAATAAGAGTTTCATAATGGATGCACTCACACTCATAAAATCTGCCTTGCAAATGCCTGATGTTGGAGTTCATTTTTTTAGCTATGTCGTAATTTACCCTTGCTGCTACCTCTTTGGCCACCAACCTCTTGAATCTGTTGAAGCTTCCACAGTTCAACAGTTCAGAGACACTCCCAAAGTTGAAGAAACACCAACGCAAAATTTTCATGTTGGACAGAACGTAGCCTTCATCTACCCCGAAGAAACACTGGTCACTGTCAACGAGTAGATATATCCGTGGCAGTTTTATAACCCACTCTTCAACGACGAGTCTTGTGCGTTCAGTGATGTAGTGAGTAAAGTCACAAACAATGGCTGTGCACAAATCCATTAAAAAGGTTTTATCGAGCTGGCGTCTGCCCAGAGATTCGTCGCCGTGCTTTAGCAGCAAACGGAGTAGATTCAAGCTAAAAACGAGGTTGGGTCTAATCACTGGGAGGAATTTCACATGAGCAATTACTTTGAGTCGGGACGGGTCCATGTTTGGGTAGCTCCACTAGAGAAGTGGAGTGGGACTGGGTCCTGTTTGTTGATCAGTTCTTGTCTGAGAGCATGTGGACCTTTGGGATCCATAATGATGTATTACGGCCTGTCTGTCAGTGGTGTTTCAGAGTAAGTGGTATCCATGATGATGTAGGACTGCCTTCATCTGGATCAAAGACGCTTGATCCAGATGACTGGACGCCACTAATATGACAGCATGACATACATTTGTAGCCCTGGTTTTCCAGTAGGTTGGTTTGTTTTTAATGTAGAACAAACCAAAATAATAATAAAAAAAAAAAAATCAGACACCAGCATTTCATCATTTATTCATTTAATAAATTCTGATTAGAATCACTCACTATGTTTCACATATATACATTTTTGTGAATTATTTTCTTGTTTATTTTAGGTTTACTACTACTTTAATTTGTTTTCATATATACATATACTCCAGTTTTTTTGCAGATTTTTGAGAGATTTTTACTTTTAATTTTTCTCAAAAAACATATACTTTTAAGCCAACATATGATTGTGTTTGATATTAATCTTAACTGTTGTAAAATACGAGAAAAACGATGTCTAACATGGCATCAGAGCCGAACGTCTTCTTTCCCAATATTATTTATATGCTATATAACTAATAGATTTCTGAACAACGCCCTCGGCATGTTTTCTGTTTGTTTTTTGTTTGTTTTTCCCAGTCTGCTGTGGACTAAAGTGCCAGGTGGATTTTACAGGTAAGTGGAGCAGACTACAGACTCATCAAGTCAAGCAGTGTCAGGTGTTTGAGTGAGTCACAGCTGAGACATGTTTTCATTAAACCTCATGAACAGGGAGCCACTGCTCCACTGCCTGATGTCTGTCTAACTTGGTTGTTTGCTGTGGAAGTATCAGAACCCCTGAGCTGAAGTTCTCTCTAGAGCTTCAGCAGCAAATATGTTTGCTTGAGTCTGTGTGTTTAGTTTTATTCTCTGTCAATTTTTTTTTCTAATGAGTAGGTTGATCCTACAGTTGTTTTAACTGCCAGACCTAGGTTTTTTAATAGTGTAGGTTAATAGAGTGGCTGTAGTCTGTCACTTTTTTTTTGTCAATTTTCCCATTTGAGTGAGTGTGGGGTCATGAAGGAAGAAATTGCTGCAGCTGTGTTTTTCTTTGCCCGTCTGGTGAAGCGATACGGTTGTCTGGATATTGAGGGCAGGAAACGGTTTGCTGCTGCGCTCACATCGGTTCTCTTTGAAAACTACAAGAACCATTGGCACCCAAATGCACCCACTAAGGGACAGGCCTACAGGTACAGAAAAAAAATATATCCTGTTTGCTACTGTTCTACTCCTGTGGCTGGATTAGCATTTAGTCTTGTCAAATAAGTTGCAGTTTCACCATGTAAATCATAATATATATATATAGAGAGAGAGAATATTAACACAACAGATTCTACCTTTCTTAATATTAAGTCTTTGTTGTTTTAATTATTAATTTATTATTTTAACTTAAGCACCTTTTGTGTTTTTCAGGTGTCTACGTATGAACCGTGTTCAGCTGCAGGATCCGGTGCTGCTTCAGGCCTGTGAGCGTGGTATGGTGCATTATGAGGATCTGGGCCTGCCCCAGGAGGTGACGGTGTGGGTTGATCCCGGAGAGATTTCCTGCAGGTCAGGGCATGATCTGACTTCTGTCTTTCAGCTTCAAAACAAGCTGACCATCATTTAATCAAACCTGCGTTCTTTCTGTGCGACAACAGGTACGGCGAGCACAGCACACCATTCTGCATCTCTGTAGTAGACCGCTGCCGTCATGATGGGGAGTTTTCCCGCCGTGTTCATGATGCAGTGGAGCGAGCGTGCTTTGATGTCTACTCGGGAAGCTCCTCAGATGAAGAGGGCAGTGGAGATAACAGCATGAGCAGCAGCAGTAGTGGCAGTGTAGGCAGTGGCCTGTCAGGTTTCTGCCCTGCTCCAGTCCATGTTCCCAACCCAGAACCTAAATCTATCCCAACTGTCAGCAACCCCAACAGTGTGTACAGGGTAGGTCTCATCTGTGTCGTAATGGAACTCTGTATGTAAAACACTTCCATTAACTACCTGACCAACTTTTTAAGAATAGTTTTTGAGAGGGTTTTTGTCTCTAATATTCTTGCAAGATAAAGGGTTTGTCTAATACAGATCTTAAAGCCCAAACCACAGAGGGTGGTTGTCAGCTCAATGTGGAAGGCCTCCTGCTGGTCAGAAGAGGAATAACGAGCAAGAAAGGCATTAACTTTATTGAGACTGTTTCTCTGGGTGTTGGAGAGTGGAGCTTATCTGATCTGAAGTGTGTAGTTACCTATGTTACAAATCTTGATCTTTACAAATTTAATTTTCACCTTGCCATTAGAAAACATTTTCTACCAGGAAACTCTTAAAAGGTCCATCTGCACCTAGCTCCTTAAAGATAATCTGTTTATCTCCCAAAGTACAACACTTGTTGTTTAATAGCTGTTTATATTATGTCTTTTTTTTTATTTAGATTTTTTTTATTAAAAACATGTTGGATTCACTCCATGTTAAGAATTGAAATGTTCTTATCAATGCTGATGAACACATTTGACAGCCTGCTTTTATGAAAGCATGTTAATGTTGCATGTTCTTTTTCTCATGGTCAACCTTTCACTTTTTACTCTTTACAGTTCAGTGAGTTTTCTTCTGGTGCTCCTCAAGTCTGGCTCAGGGACAAGAGAAAAGCCTTCCCTGGGGATACATTTCCTTATCACCCTCCTCCAACCGGAGGTCCAGCCTCCTATTTCACAGGCCAGAAAGGCTTCAAGAACTATCGGGCATCATTCACTTTTACCGGACCTCGTGTTGACAAGTACCACTGGGTCAGCAAGTCCAGATCTTAGAACCAGCCCTGCAGCTGTCCAATGTGCGTTGAAGAATAAGGCAACAAGGACAATCTTTGAATGTTTTTTTTTTGTTTGTTTTTTGATTCATAAAGAATTTAAAGTAATATGGTTTATAAAGTTATGCTGTTTAAGCAGGTTTTTAAACTTAAAAAATGTGTTTTTAACTAACCCCTACCTTCTAAATAAGTTTTTAAATTTAAAGAAAGTGTGAATAAAGTAACATTGTACTGTCATTGAAAAGAAATAAATACCTTTCAGCTCAGCTGCTTAATTATGTTGTTTGTTCTAATGGGTATTTTTAGATAGTTTTGTCCTGGGTAGAGGCACAGAGTGCCATCCCTGCTGGTTTGTAAAGTATGTAAACATACTTCCATGAATATTTATTTTATCAAACCACCCTCTTTGATCAGGTTTGTTGTATTATAAAATTCTATTACAATTTATTTTAATGCAGTTTAGTTCAGGATGCTGCAGTTTCCATAGATAGTTTTAACAAGATTATAAAAAAGTTGTCTTATTCATTTAGTGTCCTGTCTTTGGGTTGTTTTGAAAAGTTGCTTAAATCTAGTTTTACCTAATGTCCTGTTTTGAAGCCATGCATTTGATATGAATCTTTACCCATAGGTAGGACTAATTTGTACCTTAGCTGTTACTGGTAATATGTTGGTAATTCTAAGCCTCCATTCAAATGGCAAACTCCATCAAAATGATTTGTCATAATGCTCAAAGGGAAAGCCTAATAGCTTTGTGCCTATGAAAGTTCCAAGAAATGTGATTTGTTCAACATTATCTTTCAGTCGAACTACAGTTATGTTTTGCAAAAAACAAAACAAAAACAAAAAAACCGATTTAATTGTCTAGTTTATATATAGAAAGTGTGTAGTTAACATGGGTTTAAAAGGGTTTAAAAAGGCAAACTAAACCTCATGTAACTTATAAACTAGGCTTAAGAAACCACATTGTAGTCTTGTAAAAACTCAAATTTGATCACTAACAAAACTTCAGTAAATGTTCTATGTTCACTAATGAGGTAATGTGGAGTTTTTTTTTTAAAAAAAATGTAATTTTTTAAATCTAAACATAATTTACGAAAGAGACCAACGCTATCAAAGCTTTCAAACGCGCCTATAGAGAACATAGCAAGGACAGGAAGCAGAACGCTGCTTTGTTTTATAAGGTTTTTGTTTACGACCAATGACTTGCCGCCTTCTTTGACGCCACTAAACAGTAAGCCGAATCACAGGCGTTGTCACTTCGACGTGGACTGACGCTTGTTCACATCCGGTCGTATATATTCTGCCACGAGTTAGCGGCGAATTTGGAGAGTATCAGTGTCGAGTTGCGGAGCGGCGTCTGAGGTGTTATTTGCACAAAGTAAGCAAACGGTTGTTTTTCCTTATTTTCGTAAACGTGTGCATTAGAGTGGAGATAAAATAAGCTCTTCAAAATGGCGGCTCCTTTCTCCCCATTGTTTCCTATTGCTTGATTTTCAGTTCTGCGTTGATTCTGTTTCCCGTTAACTGCGTTAGCAGCGGTGCTTGCGCGAATGTTTTATGCAATAATAAAACGCTCTATGGTTGGTATAGGGTGGATTCAGCATGTGAAAACGTATATTGTTATGTTCTCGTGTATGTCTTGAGGCTGAAAGTGGAGTTTGGGTAGCGTTTAACAAATATTTTAATTCAGATTCGTTTCGTTCGCTCTTAGCCGGGCCTATTAGCGTTCCGCCATGAGCGCTAACGGAGCAAAGCGCGGTTATATTAAAACCTCTGCAACATGAAACGTCAACATGCTGCTAAACTTTTTTCTTCTGAATATTAATTATACATATTAACGAACTCACAGTGAACGGAACATGAAAGATTGATAACATGTTGTTTAATAACACATTAAAAAGGTGGCACTTGCGTGGTTTATTCACAATCGCTGTGCTGTACATTATGGGGGGTAATGTAGATTTTTAACGTTTTAATAGAACACCGTAATAATCAAAGTACAATGGGTTGTTTTAAGAGCAAATTATGTTCAAGTGACTTTCTCAGGACCAAGTTTGCCACAAAATGTGTACAAGGATGTGTACTATATGTATTTAAAGTGATGCTTTTACACTTGAGAATGCTATCAACTACTGTTTACCACCATGAAAGGAAAGAGTAGTGCGGAAGTTCATTTCTGGGTGAAGCACAAACAAAGCTAGTTCCAGAACATTGTTGAATCAAAGGTAGTGAGAATGGTAAAGACCATTATCATCACTTATGGCAAGTGTTACTGGAATATGCCTGCTAGTTGCTCTAGGGTTGTAGTAGCAAATATATATGACCTGTTAAATAATGGGCTGACTGTTGCACAGAATAAAGTGCCTAAGTTTAAGAATGAATGAAATATGGAAAAAGGGGTGCTGTTTTGCAACATTCAAATGCCAACTGCACTACCAAAAAAACTCAGCAGAGAATGTGTTGCAGATGCATTGAAGTCGGCATGAAGATAATGAAATTTTAGAGAGAAGCTGTATTTTACTGCAAATATAACACGCCGTATACATCATGTTGTCATAGTTGTAATACATTTAAAAGGACTGTGTAGAGATTTGTTGTGCTACAACCATTTGCAATAAAATTTTTATTCACCTAATAAGATTAAACATTTTTTGTGTTTGTTTTTTTTTAAAACACCAGTCAATGCCTCTTTTGTTCAGTATGTAGGCAGAGAAAAGGAAAGTTCTGGTAGATGGATTAATTAAATTTCTTTGTGTTGTGACAGTTTGAAGGAACCCACCGTCTCAATGGCAGACACTGAGAATCCGTTCATGGAGACCTCCGAGCAGAATGGCAACGAGGGAGAAATGTACACGGGTGAAATGATGAGTACAGACGATGGACAAGACAACGGCACAGATGGAGGCAAGATTGATGCCAGCAAAGGAGAGGAAGATGCAGGGTGAGTTCTTAAACACCAGTGTGTAAAGTCTGAGATAGCATGTTTGGACGAACTGTGTACAATGGACAGGATTTATATAGTAAAAGTTTTCTCTCCTGTGTTTGCAGAAAAATGTTTGTGGGTGGACTCAGTTGGGACACGAGTAAAAAGGACCTGAAGGACTACTTCTCTACGTTTGGTGAGGTGTCAGACTGCACCATCAAAATGGATTCTGTCTCTGGGCGATCGCGAGGCTTTGGCTTTGTTCTTTTTAAAGACCCTGCCAGCGTGGACAACGTAAGTTGCTTCTAAATGTTTAATTTGATCATTTGTGTTTTTTGTGCTTTATGAGGAATTGGTGATTGTGTTTTGGTGTTTTTGTTCATTGATTTGTTCTGCTTCCATATTTACTAAGTCTCTTATTTTGTAGGTGTTGGCTAAGCCTGAGCATAAACTGGATGGTCGTAAGATTGACCCCAAAAGGGCTATGGCCATCAAGAAAGAGCCAGTCAAGATTTTTGTTGGCGGTCTGAACCCTGAAGCAACAGAGGACATCATCAGGGAATATTTTGGGGAGTTTGGAGAGGTCAGTCTTTATTGAGCCTCATGAAAAACATTCTGTAGTTCTTTTTTTTATTATTATTATTATTATTTATTTATTTATTTTCATGCCACCATTCTTAGATCGAAACCATTGAGCTTCCTATTGACCCCAAATCAAGGAAAAGGCGTGGATTCATCTTTATTACCTTCAAAGAAGAAGCCAGCGCTCGCAAATGTCTGGAGAAGAAATTCCACACTATCCATGGTGGCAGGGTATGTATTGCATTGTTCTTGATTATAACCTGTAAAAAGATGCTTCCTCAATGCTGCTACAGGTTGAAGAAAAAAGAAAGGACCAACAAATTAATTTTTTCCTGGAGACTGACCTTGAATAGTACAAGTTTAAAATAGCTTAAAGATTGATGGGAAAAAAGCTAAAACAGAAATTGTTTACTTTTACAAAACATTTGGGGTTTAATTCTTTCTTTCTTTCTCAGTGTGAGCTGAAAATTGCCCAGCCAAAGGAGGTATATCAGCAGCAACAGTTTGGAGGTGGACGTGGTGGTGGTGGTGCTGGAGGTGGTGGTGGTGGTGGTGGAGGTTATGGAGGCCGAGGCAGAGGACGTGGAGGACCAAACCAGAACTGGAACCAGGGGTATGGCAACTACTGGAACCAGGGCTACGGCAACCAAGGCTATGGCTACGGTGGATATGGTGGCTATGGCAACTATGACTACTCTTCTGGCTACTATGGATATGGTCCAGGATATGACTACAGTAAGTATCATTGGATACAGGAAGAACTTCAGAGACTTGTATATAAGACTTGAAAAGAGCTCCTAGTGTGAAGATGTAGAACTAAGAAGATTAAGCTGGTTCAGAAGTTATTGTATCTCCAAACTTATGATCTCAATTTAAAACTTTTGCAATAATTTCTACAGTCTTTTGGTCTCCATTGCACGTTCAACATCTTCCAGTATTTGTTTTTCTGTAAATTATGTCTAAGGAGGACAATAGCAAGGGTGAATATAATGATTCTCAACACAGTTTACATTCACTGGTGATGTGATATCATTCGTCAATCATTTTTCTGCAAAATTAAATGTGCAAAGTAAATCTAGAAAATGGTCCTCATACTGCAGGGGTACGTAGCTCTGCAGTATGAGGACCATTATTTACGATTGGTGCATTTGAAAAGTACAGACTTTTTGTAAGTGTTCTAGTGTTAATAGAAGACACCTGTAAATTGCTATTGTCGTTTCTCCTTCAGACCAGGGCAGTGCCAACTATGGGAAGACCCCGAGACGGGGGGCACACCAGCAAGGCTACAAGCCATACTAAGGATGGTGATGAAAGTGAGCTCATGGTATTTTACAAAGGTATTGCATATCTTTGATTTTAGTTTACTTCAGAAAGTTGTCATGCTTGTCAATTCAATTCAAATTATATTTAAAGGTGTCCAAGTTTAGATACATTTGTGTTTTCAAATTAAAATTTGATTGGCATTTTTGTTTTCTCACCTTCCAGGACTACAGCTGTCGTCCAGTGAGACCAACTGCTGATGGGACACACTGGGCTTAAACGCCGCCTCTTTTACCACAGAAGACCATTTGTACAGAAAACACCCAAAATGTAACTTTTCCATGTTAGTTTGTTTTTGTTTTGTTTTTTAGTCTCATATTTTCAGTTTTTATTTGTCTTAGGTTTCTTCTTTTTTTTTTCTTACCCTCGTCTCCACATTTCCAGCCATGGAAGTGTAAATTTTACTGTACTTTTTGGTACCTGTTTTGATTCTAATGTATTGTAAGGGTTGTATTTTACATGTGTGCTAGCTTTACAGGTTAATTCTTGGCGCTGTAAAGGAGCTTTTTTGACAAATAAACAAGTTTTCAGTATTTTGTTTTTGTGTCCTTGTAGAATTTTGAAATCGATGAGTTTGGTGACAATGGGTTGTAGGTTCATGGACAAAAGTACTTTGTCCTTGAGTTACATTTTCTAATCATCTCATTAGGGAAATCTGCAGATTTAATGAACCATTGTTTGTTTTTCCCTCTAACTACACCTGTGTTACTACAGATATCCTTTTCTCTCTGCCAGTTTGACTTGACGCATTATGTTTGGGCAAAGTGTTTTACAGAGTTTTAGCAGAAACCAAATTGTTAAGAAATAATGAGCTAATTAAAATAATATATTCCCATTAAGGTCCTCAGTTAAAATAATGCTTAAGCTTCCAGGGATTAATACCCAAATATCCCTGAAATGGTTTAAAGTATTGACTATTGTTAGAATTTAACTTTAAAACATCCAGAAACATAACATTTTACAAATAAAGGAAAATGCCCCCAAAAATTACTTTAAGACAACTCATATGGAAGCTATGTGACACCCCATATGAACTTGGATGTTGATTTTATTCTGAAATTCAAAAATTGTTTCCCTGACCTTTCGCGTGTTAGGCGAACGTGATAACCACTACACTACGGAAACTTGCGTTAAGTGATAGTAACAAAAGCACTGAAATAGATGCCTCATCAAAAATTACAATAACATCAAAAGGTAAGAAAGACAGACAGTCGTCACTTGAATCTTATTACATTTAAATTCCTTCTTTACCTTTGTTCCAAATTATACGAATGTACTATAATTTTGACCACTGCAATCTAGTTCCATTGTTTGCCTTTTTAAATATACAATCCAATTGATAACACATAAACAAATCAGTATATTATTGCCTATTTGAAAGGTAATTTTAATCTAAAAAGTATTTAAAAAATGAAACAAATTTAGAATGTCCTGAATGTAAACTGAATGAAACACTTACTGCAAAGAGTGTCTATCATACTTTCATATAATTTAATCTTTATAGTTTTTAGGTTTCTGTGAATAACAATATTAAAAACTCAAAAGTTGTTTCCGCCCGGTTTCGAACCGGGGACCTTTCGCGTGTGAGGCGAACGTGATAACCACTACACTACGGAAACTGACATCAAAGCTGCATAAAAGTCTTTATATGGAGAAACAAAGGGCGGTTGTAGCTAGTCATCTAAAGTGACATGTAATATGACAATAATGTAATAGGTGATATTGTGTTTATTACCATCAACATTATGTCTAAAAAAAGAGGAAGCAGGGTAAGAAGGAAAGGTCGACACTCAATATGCTTTCATCGGTCTCCGAACAACTACGGAAAGAAACGAAGTTTGACTCGGGAGCACTGTCCTCAGGAAACATGGCGGCCAAAGCGCTTCGGCAGCGCAGCAGGCGAGGCAGCAAACAGAATGATGCGAATAACGTGAACGTCTCCACCGATGCTCGAACACAAAAGGAGGAGAAAGGAGGGGAGGACAGTAAAACCACAGAGATCCGACAAGAGTGAGTAAGAGCCCGCAGGATAGACGTTGGAGCTGCCGGTGTTACGAGCTCCATCCACGTCTGATGTGACTGACAGTCTTCGTGCTAGCTGCAGAGCTAGGCGGCTGCTTGTCTGCTCTCAACTTTAGACCTTTTAAAACGCGATGACAAGGACTATTTAACGTGAACATAACAAAACGAATAGGCAGACACTTACACTGATTAAATCCCATTGACTGTTCAATTGTTTTCTCTGACAGCCATGAGTCGTATCACTGTTGTAGCTTAATTACGATGAGCTTCATTCATTCTTCCACCTGTTTGAAGTTACCTTACATTTTATCCATCTGAGCGAGGCTGTTTCAGCAGCTCATCCACGGAGCTAATTTGACACTTGTGTGTGTATATATAGAGTGTTTGATTTCCGGAAACCGTTGGTAGTTTGTATTGTGACGTGTCGCTGTGAAACTCGCCGTGAGGATCAGTGCTGAGCTGCAGCTGAGTCGACTAATCTACGAGTAATCTGATGGTTGGTGAGAAGAAACACAACGCTGTTACAACTTACAAAGAGTGCAGAAGGTTGTTTTTCACTGGATAAATTGTACGGTGCCAAAGGCTCTTATAATAGACACGGATAATTAACATGGATTGCTAATGGGCTGTATCTTGGGGATGGTGATTGTTATGTAGTAGGATGGTTATTATTATTATTATTATTATTATTATTGTTATCTTCACCACTGACACACTGGCACGTAGTGGAGCGGACCAGAGATTCCCCATCGCATTAAAAAAAACAACAGCATTCTTTGATTATTTTTAATCACATTTCATGTTTAAAAAAAGAGATGAGTGTGGACCTTGAGCATTTTTTGATTATTTTTAATCACATTTCATGATTAAAAAAAGAGATGAGTGTGGACCTTGTAAAAACATTTTAAAACCATGGCCCTTTGTCTGTTTTTATGTACCAGGTCAGTAGGTCGTGGGGGTCAGGTCTGGGCTCCAGAGGGCTCCACAGCATTTAAATGCCTCCTCTCTGCACGTTTCTGTGCAGCTTTGCTCAGCAACATCTCAGACTGCGACGAGACCTTCAACTACTGGGAGCCTGTGAGTGCATCACATTTGCACTGTGTATCAGTAGTATTTGCAGTTTTGTATCCATGTCTGTAGAGTTCATTCATTTCTATTATTTTAAACAGCTGCGGTCTCTTTGCTTCTTAACTGTTCACATCTTCACAGATGCACTACCTGTTGTACGGCACAGGGATGCAAACATGGGAATATTCTCCCTTGTACGCCATCAGGTCTTATGCTTACCTGTGGTTGCACTTCCTGCGTATCTACACGCCCACGTTCTCCAGACCAACAAAGTAAGCTGACAATGAGAATATATATACTGTACATGTGGACACAATGCATTGTTTCATCTGTGGAATGATGCTGTTGCAGGTGCTGGTCTTCTACTTTGTGCGATGCGTCCTGGCGTTCTCCTGCTGTGTTTGTGAACTATATTTTTACAAGTGAGCCTACAACCCCAATCTGCCACAAGCATTTTGTCCAGAATGCCTACGAATGACTTATTTGATCTGCATGTGTGTGTGTGCGTGTGTGTATGTGTGTGTTTTAAACAGGGCTGTTTGTAAAAAGTTTGGCTTGCACGTCGGACGCCTGATGTTGGCCTTCCTTGTTCTGGGCACAGGAATGTTCTGCTCAGCTGCAGGTTAGTCAGAGTGTTTTTTTTTTATCTGGCTTCCGTCACGATCTGAGGTGTCAATGCTTCATTATTAGTGAGGGAGCATATGTTAAATAAAGCAAGAAACATGTAAAACAATGGGAGAACCTCAGTTGTAAAACACTTGCTGTGTTAGACTATCGGTCAGTTTTTCTGTAAAACTGAATTAGTCAAAAAGAACCAAAATCAGGTAAACATTTCTCCAAAAAAAGTAATTCTAAGAAGCTAACCGTAACTAGAAGATAGCTCCCATTACCATTAAACAAAAAATCCATTAATTTTTCTCTTTTTCCTCAGCTTTCCTGCCATCGTCTTTCTGTATGTATACAACCCTGATTGCGATGACGGGGTGGTTTCAGGACTCACCTCCTTTAGCTATTTTTGGAGTCGCTGCTGGTGCCATCGTTGGATGGCCCTTCTCAGCTCTGATTGGGTAAATGATCAGGTTTTTCATTTTAGTAAAGATGTTACGTTACGTTTAAAATTATGCATGGATTACAGGTTCTCATCCTGACCGACGTACTGTGTTGTTGTCAGACGTTCATACAGTCTAGACAGCCTTCTCAGCACATTGAACTGATGTTAATTAAAGTGTTAATTGACATTGTTTCTGATAGAATCCCAATCGCATTTGATCTGCTGTTGTTGAAGAGGCAGTGGAAGAGTTTTATCATGTGGTCCATTCTGGCTCTGCTCCTGCTGCTGGTGAGAAATCAGCCTCAGGAACTGCACTATTTGTTTATGTGATGTGCTGGTGAAGAGATTCTTTATAATGTATTTATTTGTCTAAATTGGTGAAAGTTCACATCTGTTCACCTGTACTCACATCTCAGCTCCCCCTGATGGCAGTCGACTCTTTGTTTTATGGAAAACTGGTCATCGCTCCACTCAATATCCTGTTGTATAACGTCTTCACACCACATGGACCGGACCTTTATGGTACTTGCCAATCCCAGATTACACACGCATACTCATTGTAATTTCTCATTCTGTGTTTTCACTATTACTTATTTTTATATATTTTGTCATTTGTCTTTGTAGTAACTTAATTAAAGACTAATTTTACATGTATGGTTTGTAATGTTGATGAATGTTTTGAATTTTTTAGGCACAGAGCCGTGGCATTTCTACTTTCTGAACGGGATTCTGAACTTCAATCTGGTTTTTGCTCTGGCACTGTTTGCACTTCCACTTACTGCCCTCATGGAGACGCTGTTACACAGGTTTAATGGTGAGACTTGGGTGACTATCAAACAGCTTCTTTTGTGTTAAATTATGCAATTAGTTTTTTTTTTAATTATTAACTCTAACTTTAACTTGTTCAATGTTAAATGTCAATGAGGAAAATCAAATCATTCATGATTTAAAAAAAAAAAAAACTTGGTCCTTCTGTGATCACATGTGCACATGTGTGTTTTCTGCAGTGCAGAATCTGGGCCGTCCTTACTGGCTGACTCTGTCTCCCATGTATCTGTGGATGTTGGTTTTCTTCACCAGACCACATAAAGAAGAACGTTTCCTCTTTCCCATCTACCCTCTCATCTGCCTCAGTGGAGCAGTTGCCCTCTCTTCCCTCCAGGTGTGTGACATTCTCAAGCTCAGTATTCACATGTACACACATACATGTATAGTGAGATTGACCGTCTTTATTCTACTCTTTGCAGAAATGCTACCACTTCCTGTTCCAGCGATATCGACTGGAACATTACACTGTTTCCTCAAACTGGTTGGCTCTAAGTGCAGTTGTGGTCTTTGCAGTGTTGTCCCTGTCTCGCTCTGTCGCCCTCTTCAGGGGTGTGTGACCACAGTTTTCTTTTTTTCCTCTTGAATCTCAAAAAAAAAAGAAGAAAATTCATTTAGAGAGTAATTTTTCCTTTAAACCTTGTCCACAGGTTACCACGCTCCTCTGGATCTATATCCAGAGTTTCACCGCATTGCCAAAGATCCAACTCTTCACTCGGTCCCTGAAGGCCGACCAGTCAATGTATGTGTGGGAAAAGAGTGGTATCGCTTCCCGAGCAGCTTCCTGCTGCCAAACAAGTCAGTATCCTAGATGCATTTTACCTTTGTGAACAGGGGGTTTATATAAAGTCAGGACTAAGCTTTTATAGTTGTAAGTTGTATTGTTGTGTAGTTTTAAGATGGAAAACAAATGGATTATTATATATATTATATATATATTATATTATATATAGCAGTGCAATACATGTGTAATATGCTTACACAGGAACAGGTCAGTTCCTGTGCATAAGAAGCCGCAGATCTATAGCTATCAAATTTGACTGACCATGGAAAGCTACTCCGTATCAGCTTCATTATTGTTGGCTGTTCAGAAGTTACAGCTCCGTGTGAAAACAATAAATGTTTTAGCCCAGGTGTCATCTCCTCATGGTCAATATTTTTCCCCTTCAGTTGGCAGCTGCATTTCATCCAGTCTGAGTTTAGAGGGCAGCTGCCGCAACCCTACGCCTCTGGTGCTCTGGCCACACGGATGATCCCTGAACACATGAACGACCAGAACCTGGAGGAGCCGACCAGATACGTAAGTCACACAGGCATGTGGGGGTTCATTACCTCACACTGAGTGTAGCTGAGAACAAGTGCACAAAATTCTTTTTCCTTGCACAGGTGGATTTGCGACACTGCCACTATTTAGTCGACCTGGACACGGAGGAAGAGACTCCGCTTGAGCCGCGTTATTCATCGAACAAAGAGGAGTGGAGCATCATTGCCTTTAAGCCTTTTCTTCAAACGTCAAGGTAATATTAATAAACACAGACTGTATCTTCTCTTTTTGTCCTTTAGAGAGCGCTGTAAGCATTATTGCCTTGGTGCATTACTTGAGCCAATCTAACTGTAATTGTGTAAATTGGTCAAAACAACAGGCCTAATGACTATAATAAATGCTCAGCATGACACAAACACATTAAACGTTGTGGTGCATGACTGATGGAGCTGTACACCACACTTCTTTTTACCAAATGGACCGATTTTAAAACTTTAATCCTACATTATTGCTTAAATATAATTGAATTGTATTTTACTGCAATGGTGCATTCAACTTAACTGACAGCACATACACTTGGTTTAATGTTTATTAAGTTTAAGTGGCAGATGGATGAATAACCAGTTGGAATCGACCACCAGTTGATTTTATTTAACTTTGTATGTTTCTGATGTTTATTGTTTAAGAAAATCCCTTTATATTTTATAAATAATGGAAAACCTCCCTTCATCCCCTCACCCCCACTTCCAGGTCTTCTCCTCTCTTCAGGGCATTCTACGTTCCACTTATATCTGACCATCACACCACCTACAGGCGCTACGTTATCTTGAAACCTCGGCGGCAGAAGCAGCCACGTAAGCGTGCCCATGGCTGAACTTTGCCCCTCAGGCTGGTGCAAAAATGCAAGTGGAAAAAAACATTGCAGAATCCTGACATGAGAACTCGATCTCCTGCTGTCAGTGTTTGTGTGACTGTTGGACGTGTGTGCATGCTGACGTTGTTGAAGTATTCATCTCATGAATCATGTAAAGATTTCAGACCCTTTAAGGATGTGAAGTGAGAGGTAAAGAATGTGTGTGTGTGTGGAGAGAAAGTATGTGTGTGTGTGCAGAGTGCAGGATTTAACGTTTACGTGAATATGGACAGGCTTTTTTCGTACTTGGGTCGAAAAATGTAGCCTGAAAAGCTGTGTTTGATTTTCTTAAACAATTGATCAATGGAATCTTGTAGTGTTTCCTGATTTGCACTTGGACTGTATCTTACCAGTGTGTGTTGTGAGTTGTGTGGGATGTGAGACTGTGAGTGTGGAGGTGACAGAGCTGTTGTTAATTTAACAATTTTGAATAAAATGTGACAGAATGTGGAGGTCATCACTATTTTTCCTTCATATTAAAAAAAAAAATCCCTGTGGCGCCGACTGAAATATAATCCAAAGAAACGACATCCAGGCAATTTACACAAGAAGAAGGCAGTGCAATAAATGTGTATTACCTACCCATTCATCCATCCATCCATGTAGAAGAATTACAAACAATGATCATCTAAATGGAGCTACTTCACCAAGTCCAAATAGAAGCAAAAAAAAAAAAAAATCTAAAGAATAACATAAGTACATAAACCTTTATAGAGGGTTCGTGATAAGGGTTCATAATACACACAAACAAACACAAGCTGCATGGCGCAACCAACCTAATTGTGAAACCAGGACAAAGTACAAGCGTTTGCCTCATCATTTCCCAAAAGCTCAGAAAAGCCTTGGAGCAATGACACATATTTATTTATTTATAAATTGATCGATTCAGTTTTCAGTAATTTCACTAACTGATAATCTACCCATTTACGCAGCAGTTAACACACCTGCCAAGAGTCCTGGGTTTTTAGAATTTTATTTAGGTTTTGTGTGTGTGAACCGAATTTTACATTGACAAAAATAGTCAGGTTTTCTTATTTTTTGTAAAAAACCACGGTTTGGCGCTGCCAATCTACCAACAGAGGGCAGTAATGTATCATCAAGACTAAAAGCTTCCGTTGAAGGAGAGTGGGGGGACGGAGAGTTGACGTATATGCCGGAAGCTACCGTAAGTAAAAGACAACAGCGCCAAATTTGTGCTGGACTAGTTCTAGAAACCGTGTTATGAAAATATGTATATCTAGATGAAGGTTGTGTGTTGTTGTTTTTTTTTTGTTTGTTTTTTAAAAGCTGAGGAAGCCACTCTGTTACTGTTGCCCCAGAACTCCACTGAAGTTCATTGAAACACCGATATTCCTTCAAACTGCTATTTTTTATCGAGTTTTATTTGAAGGGTTTCTTAAGTAACAAACATACAAAGCAGTCACACAGGAGAGATGTCGAAGCATTATACATTCTGAATGAATAAGAATAATCAGACTGTGATTTGTCATTTTCGGTGCTGGCATGCAGTCGTGGTCAGGCTGCAGGCACTCGAGCTGTATTAATGCACAAGTCACTCAGGAAGAAGAACCCGATCAAAACTGAAAGATCAAGTTTGTGAAGATTGTGCCTTCGGGCAGTTTTGTACCTCATTATATTTGAGGTAGGCTTTTAACAGTAGGTAAACAATGGTCGGATTAAACATCCAGTTCAGGCACTGTAAACATGATGGCCCACGACCTTCAGATTTGTTCTACCAAACAGGAGCACCTCAACCAGGCCGTGCAAGAGTCTGCGTCACCAAAACAGGATAACAATTTGACGGTGCTTGTGGTGGAAGAAGAAAAAAAAAAAAGTTTTCCAGCCAGTGAGATTTTTTAGAAACATTCCCTACAAGCGAGCATGCACAGCTTTTTACAGTGTATTTCCTCTGTTTACAAATTCGTACAGACATGCAGTGGTGTACAAACGTCAGGAGCCAATATTGTCATTTACAAATCAATTCTTCAAGACTGGTCCTTTAGTCTTTCCTAAAAGTTATGAAGCTTCACTGTTGTCTGTTTAGATACAAATTTCTGTCCAAACTAATGTTTGTCTTTAGCTTCGTTTCTGTTTTGGCATATGTGAAAAATGAACGTTGTATAAATGATGTGCTGAGGCTGCATTTTAGTTTGTGGTCTTTGATTGTGGCCTGTAATGATGTAACTATAAGTGCCATTTTATTCTGTGCTGTGTCATAAACACATTTTTCAATGTAATGGGTGTATGTTATGGTGAGACGTACCCAAAAAAGTAACCTAATCATGGTGAGACCCATGGTGAGTACCCAAAAAAGTAACCTAACAAGACTAGTAACCAGACTATATGTTTAAGTGAGTTGGGGAATAGACTGGACACTGGAGTGGGAAATTGTTGCTTTCTTGAAAAACCAAAATGTGATAAAGGCCAAAGACTTGAGCACACCACTGACTAAACTCAAAATGTAAATAACTGTTGAGAGGATCAGTAGTTGTGTCTGTTGATCCAGTCTTGTTCGTTGAAGTATCTCCTACCACTGTCATAATTCAGGCCGTTTCTGTAGGTGTCCAGATTAGATTGAAAGGATTTTCGGTTTGCATAATTTCCCAGGCTGCTTTGGTAAGTGTCTTCCTTGCCATTGCTGATGTACGTCTGATACAGATCAGCTTTGACCGCGTGACCTCCGGGCCTCAGCTTGGGATCGTAGAGGTCACTCGCTGCTCGGACGCTGCCATCGTACAATCCATGGTCTCCGTACACGCTGCTGCCAAAATGCTCACTCTTTGTCGTACGACGACCTAGGCTGCGGTCGTAAAACTCCCTGTGCCCGGTGCGGCCCAGACTGCCATCATTCAGCTCCCGCTTTCCTGGGCGGCCAAGGCTGGTGTCATAAAAGTCACGGGTAACGCGGCGTCCGAGGCTGAGGTCATTGAGGTCCATGTTCAGGAAGCAGCTCTCTGTGCTAGCAAGAGTCACAAAACCGCTCTCAGTGTCCCGACCTCCTAGGTTGTCATAGTCACCTGTGGGTGTGTCAGGGGAGGAGCTTAAGAAGGAGGTGTTCTTAGTGGTTGGTCGAGCTGAAACCAGATCGTCATCCTTCTGGGAACGTATGACATTGTAGACATCGTTTGAAGTTGGGCTGGGACACAGGCCTGGGTCTGTCTGGCAAACTTCTGATTTCTGCTCTTTTCTCTTTCTGTCACAAGAGAGAAGCAAATAATTTAGGTGCTTGGAATCACAGTTCTTGAATAAGATGTGTTTTCAAATGTCACAAATCATACTTATTTTGATTGTGTTGCGGTAACTCACCGTGTGCCCACTAATTTGAAGCAGCAGACTCCGATCACTGTCAGCAGCAGCAGTATCAGGGGGATGGTGGGAATTATGATGTATATCAAATTTACAGCTAGATGGAAATCAGATTAAACACATTTAATCACAACATCAACCTCAGAAACAGTAGTGACAGCTGAGTCAACAAAGTCTTACCTGTACTTCTGTTCTGGTGGCCGTCACTTGGGCTCCAGGGAAGCACCGATGGAGGGAAGACCTCTGTAATGAAAAACACTGTAAATATTTATTTCAATAATAAAACACTTCACTTACTATCCCCCACTAGCTAATAGCTATTAGCCAATGAGCATGTTGTACCTGTCTTAGTTGAGTTAGGAGAAGGAGATGGCTCCAATGGTTTCTCTGAGAAGAAACAAAGAAAAAACATTATTATGTGACACTGTGACCTCACCTTTATGCTGTGTGTCTGTTGACTAGTTGTACCTGCAGTGTATTTACAGATGAAGTTGTTCTTAGTTTCACAGTTGTCATCGTTCCACTGGAACATGTAGAGGCCACCGAGACCAGGGGGCGCTGACGGCTGGTGATACATCACCACACACACCTCATAACCACAGGACGGCTCGTCCCAGTGCCAGTTCCTGCAGTCACACACACAAACACACACAAACACACACAAACACACATGTTATATTTGTGATGGTACCAATTATTAAAAATAAAACTACATCCAGTTTAGAAGTTATAAATATATGGCATTAATTAATAATTGTAAAGAAATATAATACATATATTGCATATTATAAATGTAACAGAACTGTACTATTCAATTTTGTTATTTGTAGTTAATGTATTGTAGTTTTTTTTTTCTTAAATGCAAGTGTGTGAGCACATTTTCTTATCTTACTGTGATTATCCTCAGGCTGGTACTGTCTACTAGGTTGACTTCCTCCGGTGGACAACCGCTAGTTTGCTCAGTTTTGTGGTTTTTTTGTTTACAAACACCAACACAACCTCTGAGTGTAATCTGGGACTGTCTAACACACACCTGAACGTAGACTTGCTGCCGTCCAGCCAGTAGTACTCTGGAGAGCAGTCTGAGCTGCTGTCCTCGTTCCCATCATTTCGTCGCAGACCAATCCAGAAGTCTCCGTCCGTCGGGCGGAGTTCTGTGATGAGCTGCTCGATGATCTTCTGCTCAGACTCCGACTCCACGCTCAGCAGCTGTCCTCCATCACGTTGGCAGGCCAGTTCTGCCTCTGCGAAGTTCAGCCTGCGCCGTAGCTCAGAGAAATAGGCCAGCTTGTAGCAGGGTTTTCCTTTCCCTGCCTTACACACACGTTGACCTGAACACACACACATACTACATTATTATCACTCAGATCATCAGACTAACTGTTGGTGTCAGGAACACACATTTTTATTAATATTTTTTTCTCTCGTTATATTTAAACAAGTTTAGCTTTATAATTACGTGTATTCAAATTTTTTTCTTGTTATATTTAATCAAGTTTAGCTTTATAATTACGTGTATTGTGTGTTTACTTTATCAGAAAGTAACAGTGAAACGGTAGTGTTGACGGCAGATTCTGTGACTTTGGATTTGAAGTAAAGAACTTAAAAAACAATCACTCTACAGTTACAAAACGTGTTTAAAAGAAACACCCACCATTCACTTCATTAGTGAAAGTAAAGTCAAAGTTTTAAAAAAATGAATCAACTAGTTTCATGACTGACCTACGATATTTCTAGAAACCCCGTAGGGTCGCAGAATTCTTTTAAATACTTAATAGGCGTCAATGCATGTTCAAAGTTTACCAAACGATCTTTTTCAAAGACTTGGTCTACTGGAGTCCAGCTGTTAGGGACTGATCAGATTTGTTTGCATAAAAAAGACTGTTGAACCGAGTGTCACACAAGACTTAAAACAAGACATTTTCAAAGGTTTACCAAGAATTCTCCAAATACACCTAACTGGTGATTGTTGGTTTTATTCTTTTCTGAGAGAATGTGTGTGTTTCTTACCTCTGGCTTCGAATATGTCAGCTTCAAGAACCGGAAATCACAAACAGGTCAGAGTCAGGGAAGTAGAGGATCAGGAAAACACAGACAGATCCACAAGTGAGTCAAGAGTTTGGTTTGTCGTGCCAGGTTGCGTTTCTTTTGTGCACACACTTACCCGTGATGAGGCTTGTGGCTGCTGAAAGATCGAGAGACAAGAGCATAAAGTGACAGAGGATTGTTATAAGATCCATTGGTAGAATAGACAGATTGGCTGGAGTCACCATTTCACTGCCCCCTGCCTGTTCATGTGGTCATCAACGGAGCCTTTTATAAACAGATCAAAAACCTCTGTGGTGATATTTCGACTCCAGCGGCAGAAAAATCTCCAGGAGATTGAAAGAGAGCTGAAGAAGTAAGAAAAAAGTCACATCTACTGTTCTGTTCTCTGAAGGAAGGATTGTGCAAGACAGGCGGAGGAGCACAGAGAGGAAGAGGAGCGGGAGGACAGGGTGTGCGTGTTTGGGAGGGGGCTGTAATCTGTTAAGAGCAGTCTTAATGATTGGAAGAAGAGACTGCATCGATTGCAAAACATCTAATCATGCAAGTGCTTCTCATCGTAAACGCTGACAAGAGGCAGATTTCACTCCTCTTATTACCGAGCTCCGAAGATTATCATTACAAAAGTGTTACATGAAAATGATCCCCTCTAACTCGATCAGGGATTTTTTTAAATATTTCCCTCCACGTTGTTTTCAGTCCCGTTGTGTTTCAGGCGCACGCATTACGCACAGACAAGTGAAAATATCAATATGAAAGGAACCACATCTTTTTGTGTGTGCAACCTGTGCTCAGAATTGATCGGCCCTAATAAGCAAATATCCACACTCTGTCATGACATCACTCTCCTTGCCAGTCGATCCAACCCACTTCAGACTGAGGGGAGGACAACAGAGGGAAACACGAACACAGAGAAATACAGCTTCCTATCCAATACAGTCTAATCAATAATCAATGTTTAATATTAGCAAAATTGTAGCCATGACAACAGATGTTAACGTTTTCACCCAGTGTCATTGATGGGGGAGGAGGGGCTACTGTTTGGCTAACATTTGTGTATTTCTTTGCTAAAAATGACTCGTCTTCTACCTTGCACCGCACAATTCTGCCATATTCCTAAAGATCCATGATATTTCTGAACTTCCTGCTACATGCTATTTTGCTAACTTTATTCCAAGAAAATTCCAAGTTGTCTGAGACCTGAGTGCTGTGAGTGAGCCTTTGGGAGTTCATGCATAAAATGTAGACACACGGAATAAACGAGTGCTTTTAGAAGAATATTACAAAAGAAATGGACAAACCACCATTTCTGTAGTGCACATCACATCTATAGTCCATTAGCCTAAAGAGATCTCCATTTGTTTTGCAGGTATCATAAGACTAATGCTGAGGATTACATTTTCTCCTACTTGCTCTTAGTCGATTTTTAGTTTAAACGTTAATGTTATAATGCAGTGTTTCCCAAACGCTGTGCCGTGGCACACTAGTGTGCCATGAGAGATCATTAGCATGATGTATTAATGTAACAAGTGCATTCAGAACACCTGATCAAAGAGGTGACATGTAAAGGAAAGGTCAGCTTTATGGCTGTTGTGTTGTGGATCTTTCCCCTGGACTTTAATATATATTCATATTTTGTCTAGTATGAGGCAGATACACTCACGTAGACTTCATATTCATAC